GGGGAAAATGAAGAAAAATTACATCGGTTTTAGAATCTTGATTCTTTGCCAATCTTACTTCCATTATAATCAAATGTAGGCAAGTTATTTTTGTACTGAAATGAATATAATTACTTTGATTTATATTTTACCTTGCATTAATTTTGTTTTCATATTTAAGGGTTTGCGTTTGAATTAATTTAAAAATATTGGCAATCTATTGCAATCATATGATGTTTTCAGCACTATAAACCTTTCTTATACAATAATAATTCTGGAAATTGATAAAGAAGAAGAATTGTTAAAGTTTCCAAAAGTGGACTTAGAACACATATCTTTGTTTTTTTAAGGAATTATCTAAGTTTAAAACAACTTATAAGGATTAATATGTAAAAAATATATTAATTGATTTGATTGAATTTTCAAAACTAATTAATAAAACTAATTTTCAATACAATATATCAATGAATATTATTCATAAAAAAATATTGATTAAAATTGAGAGATTCGAACAATTTTTGACTAATAATTGTAATAGTTTCAAATAGAAGGCATTTGACAAAGACAAAGACCATCTGAATATTTTTGTAAGTAAAGGTCTCTCGGCTATTACGCAATAAATGATGCATGGTTTCATCCAGCTCTCATAATTCATAATTTCTGCACCAATTTTCCAAGAACGGAAGTTATTTATGGAAAACCCGCAAAAGCCATTTACGTCGAACTCGATATCTCGTAAGTTACTTCTGACACAGTTTCTACTTACAAACACAGAAGAACGAAAAGCTTACGTAATAGTGTATTTCTTGAAATATTAATTAATATTTTATGATATTTTCTGAAAATCTATGTAGAAATACAAATTGTGAATGAGTTTGAAGAAATTAATTATTAATAAAGCATTTTAGATCCATTAATACTCGTTGCACTGGACATTAAATCTAAGTAATTAAACCGATTGTTAATGGCCTGGTTTAATTCGAACGTAAAGCATTATATAAATTATGTTATGCGCTGTTAATGATCGATGCAATAATTTCAGTTCCAAGCTATAAAATTGTGTAAAATATTAAACACAATAATAATATTAGTATTATATTTTCAATAATAATCTATTAATAATAATAATTTATTGGTCAAAATATTTATTGTATCTCAATTTATATCTACACTTTTTTGAAATTTTATTAATAAAATAAAATTTTATTATTATTTAAAATGTTAAACTTTTATAATAATATTGAAATTGATACATCTTGATTATGCGTTGTGTATGTATTTTTTTTGTTCATATCGTATCAATTTTGAACCGATGCAATAATTAAAACTTATGCCGAATGCACGTGCGTCCAATCGATAGTGCAAGTCTCGGATTATCTCCATGGCAACTGGAATAATAAACCAGAAATTGCATGGGAATTGGCAAAATTATGTAGAGAACAATATAGTTTACTTTATTACCATAGTTTACTTTATTATCCACCAACTAAGATTGATATGTTGATTATTCACTTTCGTGCCGCAATAGTTTTGATCATTTGTTCACGCTATAAACAAAATTATAATTTTGATTTCAAGAATTATAATTTTTATTGAACTAATTACACTAAACATAAAAAAGTATATACAAAAAATATTTTTATTCAGCAGTACCTCGCATAGTGCGGCTTCGATCAGTGCAGATTCATTAAAAAAAATCAAATAAATTTCTGATAAATAAAATATCAATATTTAAACCTTTAAATTCTTATTGTTGAAACTAAAATATTTTCAATATGTTGATGTTAAACACTGTTTTGTAGCATAGGATAGTGATATGTATTAATACACAAATGTTTCTAGTTAACATAGGAATACAAATTCTTAATTATAACTATTCGTTGTAATTTTATTAAAATATAAAAATCATTTAACATGTTCAATCAAAGATATTTGATTAAATCCATTTAGGAAACACTTTTGACATTCATTCATTACATAGATTTCAACACAAAATTTAAAATATTAGGGTAGAATGACCTATGACCAATTTCATTATTGTTTATTATAAATATTAAATTTCAAAACAACTGCATATTTAAGAGTTGAATGATATAACAGTTAATTATATATATGCAAAAAAGGAAATACATTACTTAAAAAAATGTGATGAAATAGTAGCACAATTTGAGGTAATAAGAACTACAATATTTTTTTAATGTCTTTACTTTATAAAAACATAAAGTAGAACGATATATTCGAGAGTCTTTGTTTTCACACCTAAAACAAAAAAAAATACATTTTCTCCTGATGATCTTTTCAGATCCATTTATTACAAACTGTACGAAAGTTTCTTATTCTTCTGTCCTCTTTTCTAGGAGGGTCCATTTCCAATATTTTCAGTTCTAACGCATTATTTTCATTACTCGAATGAGATGATGTTCGATGCGGAATATAATATTTCATTCTTATTTGTTTTGGAATTAATTCAATCTGAAGTCTCTTTCACAGCAACAAATTGACAATGAAGATTACAGGTACGTGTTCAATCGCACTTTTAAGAACCTTGTGATACATTTGTATCCCGCGTATATTCTGCAATGTTAAATTAAAATAAATATTATTTATAAAAGTACTTTTTACAAATATTCTTAAAGGTATTTCAGTTGAATGAGAATAATCTAAAGGGTGCTCAAAAACACGATAAACAAATGCCAAACATTGTACAAGTAACGTGCTGTAATCTCGTGGAAACGAATAAGCGATAATAAATGCACGTACTGTTGTGCATTTTGTGTACGTGGCACGTGGAGGTGTATGATCAATATGTAGAAACAGTAAAGTTTCCGGAAGATAGGCCCTTCTGTATGCGCTTTAAAAGGGACAAAGACAAGCTCATATAGATAGAGATAGAACGAAGCCCTCGATTCAACAAAGGCAAAGTGATGCCATTTCCATTAAGCTGAGTGTTTCAGCATCGAAATATTCCGAGTGGAGATCTTCGCGAATTAAAGGCAAACACGCGAAGGCATTTCTCGACGATAAAATTATTCTGGGATGGGCGTAAAACAAAAAAAATATATGAAGTGCAGCGTTGGGATCGGGAGGAGAGAGTTGGTGTCAGTAGTATCGGAGAGACTAAAAGAATCACCTTTTCCGGCCCTTCTCTTCCGCTTTTATTGCACTGTGGAGAACAACAGAATCGTGGAGTGATAAGATAAATCTCTTCGCGGAGGAAAAAGTGGGATAACTCCGCGGCACTGCTAAACCTATCCAACAGTTATGTAAAGTTATTCAACTCGCACAGCTCGTGGCTCCTTCAATGCAGTGCTATTATTTTAAATTTTATCATGTAATCTCTTTCGCTAACTATCACTATAAATATTATTTCCATGAGAATACAGCGAAATTGCGGATTGAAATTATTTTCTTACAGTATTCCTCTGGCACAAACTTTAAACTACAGTTGAAGATAGATAGGGAAGAAAAGGATGAGCGGAGGATGGAGAGAGAAAGGGAAGAAAGACATAGAAGCGCAGAGCTCAGGCACAATGTAGATTGCCATGTGAAATTAATTAAATTAAATTTTGAAATGTACTTAAAAAAAGAATAGTTTTTTTTATAATAATAATTGAGAAATTATTTTGGGAATCTGCAAAGGATTTGCAATAATAATTCGGTTCATTTGACTTTGTCACATCAAATTTTTAACTTGAATCCTATTAGAGAACCAAAGAATACTGGATGTGTTAAAATATTGATTGGAGAAAATCTTGCATAAATAATACCAGCTAGTTAGGGTGAAAAGAAGTTTTTCGGTACTAAAACTATATTGACTGATTTACTGAGAATATTCCTAAATTGTATTTTGTTTTCATTTTTAACAATAAAATAATCGATTTTTAATTTTAATTAAGTTTTATTTCTTTTGTATGTTCAATTTTATAATACATGATACAGATAGTAATTATTATATATATTTAATAATTGATACTGTATATAAAATAAACTAAAGAAATTACTTTTTATCCAACTTTTCGAAAATTATAAAATTTGAGAATTCACCAAAAATGCAATTTCGTTTGACTTATATATTATAATTATTAATTTTAAATCACCGCTCTCTGATATATTTAATATATCTTTGTTTTTTGTATACGAATATATTTGCAATTAAAAAAAGTGACAAATCCACATGTTTGACAATTGATTTTATATTACAAATTCTCATTTAGTTCAATAAATTCTTCTTGCAAGGAGAAATTAATATCGGCTGTTCAAATGGGTTTATAATCCAAGATTCAACATCTAAATTATTTATTTCAAGTGGTCCATATACAGTTTGAATGTTTCCGCCTTAATATTATCTTTTTTTAAATGCAATACATTTTCGAAATATCGAAAATCTTTTCGATTTAAAATATGTTTATCTCTGAAAACATTCAATTCTTAAGAATGATTTTTTGTATATTCAGCAACGTAATTAATGGGAAAATATTTAATAAAATGAAGTAGAAATTTATTAACATTAAATTGAAAAATATAAGGAAATAGAAATCTTAAAATTAATCGTTAAATGTTAAATCAACTTTGGTTATTGTTTATATAAAATTTGCACAATTATTTTCTATCATTTTTTTTTATATAGAGAACAATATTTATTCAAAATTTCAGATCTCTAAATAATATTACAGAATTAATTATATTTTACTTGACAGGTATTGTGTGATACACCATTAAATTAGTTTAATTCATTCATAAACAATTTAATGTTATAATAATTCAAAAATTCAAATATTTTTAAACAAATAATAAGCTAATCATGTTTTTTTTACAATTATTCCATCAATTTGACGTTAACTTGGCAACAAAAAAATAAAATAAAAAGGGACGTTTACAAAGAATGCTGTGATTAATGTTTGTAGACAGGAGAAGCTGAAGATACGTCTAAGATACGTCACGCAAGTCGTGAAAGTTAGTTGGCTTGAAGAAGCGAAGGCACTATCAGGTGTAAACTATTTGAAAGTTTAAATTCAACTTACACGAAGCCAAGTCCTGGAGTTGCTGAAATTCGGCCGGCGAAAGTTTCTCCCACTGCAGAGCCATGTCTATGAGGACGCTGCCGCCGCCCCCACCGCCTCCTTCGTTCCTACTCATTTCAAGCCGCCTCCACTTTCACCTGCAAAAATAAAAACAAGAATAGAATGGTTATATATATATTACATTCGATATCGATCATCATCGACTTGCATATTTATATAAATTGAAAACTTTTTTTGTGTTCTACTCCTCTTGAAAAGGGATTATTGGATTCGCTTCACGTTCGGAATTTAATTAAATCGGCTAAATGTAGAAATGGCGAAGCAGAAAATAAAACAAAAAAATGAAACGACACAGACGACGATGATAAATAAAGCTCCTAATAAATATTTAAAACTGCTTTCAGATGCTTTTAATCACTTAATCCGAAGAATGAAACATATATCATTTGTTACTTGTCTACTTTCATCTCAAACAATTATATTATATAATTGACATTTGTTACAATTATTTATAATGAAGCAAATTAATTTGAAGGAGTAACTAAACTGTTTAGATTTATCTTATTTAATTATATATTCAAAATGTGTCATAACAATTTAGAAAGATACAATATTTATTTGCAAGAAATAAACAGGAATATGAAAAAATTAACGATTCAATTCATTACATTCAACTTAACTTAAATCTGTTATAATATTTTTGTATTTTTTTTTTAAACTTGTTAAAGAATACAGTCGATTCAGCACCACGAGGATTCACACACGATTAATGTCCCGATTAAACGGAGTAAATGTGTAAATTTTCTTAGTTTTGTTTCCGTTCTTTAGGTTTTGTCCCTGTCTCGATAAACTGGAGTCCCAATTAAGCGGAATTGACTGTATTTTAATTGCAAACTATATTTGCTTTTATCGTGAGAAGTTGCAAATCTGAAAAAATGTTACTTATAATATCAATTCTAATTATAAAGCATACATTTTGTGTATTAAAAATACCCAAAAAGCTGATGAAACGTTTTTTTTTTTGTAAAACCGTGGAATTGTGCGTGTCCTTTGGGATGTAATGTTTTGGCTGCGAAATATATATATATTTTGATGCAGTCCACCGTGGCTTGCAAAAAAAAAATAAAATAAAAATGTAATCCTGTACAGAATTACAATTTGTGCGGTAAATTTGGGTACGCGCTTTGAAAGTTTGTTTGCTTTAAACGTATAATATTTAGAGGCCTTCTGGCATGCAAAACGGAAGGCAAGAACAATATTGTTCCATAAATAAACAAATATTTTGAGCGAATACGTTTTTTTTATCGGATGCATAAAACGCGTTCACCTTTAGATTGTTCAAGTCTCAGATCTGTCTCAGAATTGGTTTGGCATGAAGCCAAAAGCCATTACAATTGACGTGTTTATATGAGCAGTGCGTTTCCTTGTTACCGTTATTCTACAATAACCCACGACGAAAGACAACAAATAGAAAAAAAGAGTTTGGTCATGATGCTCTGGCTTAATGCTGCATATAGTTTACGTTTTATATAAGACATAGTTGTTGCTGTATTTGAATGGAATATTCACCATTGATTAGCTGGTTAGTATATACTTTGACATAAATTTATTTACTTTGGTTACAATACATTGCATACACAACTATCATCGAAATACATAAAAAAAACACAAAAAATCAAATATTTGTAGCTACTCGTATAATATGCTTCGCATATACTAGGGTTTATACGAAAACCGGCTTAAAATAAAAACGATTTTCTTCTTAGTCGATTTTCTTCGTAGTCATCATCGCAGTCATCTATTTAATAATTTGGATACAATCTTGATAATATTTGTCTCACTTTTTGAAGCTAGTAATTAACTAACTACTTACTAAACAAACACCTTAGAACTAATTTCAGTTTTCATTTTTTTTTTCAATTCACGTAACAGATTTTTTATCAACATTTTTACGTTTTTAATCAAATAATTAAAATATTTCTTTAATTTTTATATTTTTAGACTAGGATCAAAAACTGTTTTTTAGTTGGAATTACATAAATTTTGTCTAAAAACCAGTTCTCAGAAACCGGGTTTTAAAAGCCTACAAACCCTAGTACATACAAATACTAATACTAATATGAAACATACATGTTGTGTACTGGGATATACGAATAATTATTCCCCAATTGTTAATTACTAAATATTATTATTTCACTATAATATTTATATATTTTTCACTTTATTTAAGTCGGTACAAAATTTGTAGCTGCTATCGAACTCCATGTTAATCAATGAGTACCAACTATACTACAAAACATGAAATTGTGGTATTCTGAAATTCATTAAAGTGTCATGACACGCATAGTATATACGCATTTATTGATTTTCAATCTATTTCCAATTACTGATCTCATTGGTTCGGACAGGTGACATCAATTTATTCTATTAAATCGAAAGTTATCCGTTATTGGCTTAAGCAGGTTTACTTTTTATTTTTGAAACGAAGAGTTTAGAAAATAATATGTAATCTTCGTTGAGCTTCGTGAATTCCTGAGGGAACCGCATTCAAACGAACCATTTATCAAAAATAAAGTTGAGTGGACTAATAAAATGCGAGTCGCAGGGACTTGAAGCAAAGAAAAAGAAGAAGAAAAAAAAAATGGAATATTGAAAAAGTTACCCATACATAAATTCTGGGAAACATTCTATTAGATTTATTATCGGAAGTGAAAGAAAAATTGCGTCCGAAATATGTGCATTCGGTCTATATTTAAATTTAGGGAAAAATATTTTTTAAAATAAGCTTCGACTCGTGCACGAAATTGAAAGAAATCTTGGTTTGGTTATTTTCAATATTTTATAATTTATTACTTGTATCTGGATTTTCTTTTTCAAAAAATACCAATGTCCTTAAATAAAGGTGCTAGTATTTTTATTCAAAAACTTTAAGTTTGATTTATTAAATGTCAAAAGCTGTTCCGATTTAAATAATGGTAGGCTAATATGTAGTTAATGAATATTCAATACATATTTTTTAACGATGTGTAAAGAATTGTAACACGAAACACTCGTGTACATAAAAAAAACACAAGATATAACAATCTTCAGCCGGCTAGGGCGTGAGTCCGTGAC